CTCCATTGCTCAAAATAAGAAAACCATACGTAGAATCTTTCTCCCATTAGTCAATGTCCCCTTTAACCCTTGACTCCATATTTACCTCCCCAACCTTAGCTTATATTGTAATATCCAAAATCACAGGTAAATAAAATGAGAGGCAATGGAGATCAGATTGGGGGGTGAGGTTTGTTCAACGTTTCAGTGGCCCATTATAAATTTTAATCGTGCTGTTAAATGGTGTAATACATCAATTAATGAGCTGGACCCTTTCAGCTTTGCTGTATGTCTGGCCTCTTCCTTCTTGTCCTTGTGGCATCAGGCAAATACCTCCTTCTTCAGGCAGGCTTTTAAGCAGCAAGTGTCTCAGGAATGTGTTGCTTCTTGATTTACAGATTTGTTCTTTTAAATTGTTTTTAATCCATTGATTGTTTTTAATATCTTATTGATATAATGTTTTTAAAATTGCTGATTTATACTTTTAATTGTTGTGAGCCACTTTGGGTCTCCTCTGGGGAGAAAGTTGGCATATACATAATACGATAAAATAACTAAAATAGTGTCTTCTTACCCAAAACGGTCTGTCTGTTTCTAAGCCAGTAAAAGGACACATCACTTCTCAGCTATCCCTAGGCTCAGTTTCTCTTGCCTTGACAGTGCATGAGTGGAGGAGCTACAGAAATCTCTGAGACCCTCTAGTTTACGCTCCTTTTTTATCTTGTTGCTTCTTAATTTACAGATTTGTTCTTTTAAATTGTTTTTAATCTTGATATCTGTTTGATTGGTTTTAATATCTTATTGATATAATGTTTTAAAAATTATTGATTGTCTTTTAATTGTTGTGAGCCACCTTGGGTCTCCTCTGGGGAGAAAGTCGGCATATACATGATACGATAAAATAACTAAAATAGTGTCTTCTTACCTAAAACGGTCTGTCTATTTCTAAGCCACTAAAAGGACACATCACTTCTCAGCTATCCCTAGGCTCAGTTTCTCTTGCCTTGACAGTGCATGAGTGGAGGAGCTACAGAAATCTCTGAGACCTTCTAGTTTACGCTCCTTTTTTATCTCCCACAGAAGGTGTGATGGCTACACAGGCAGACTCCGAAACCTGTTCTCCTGGAAAAACAGAAAGGGCTGTTTTGAAACTGCCTCAGGTAAGGGAAGGATCATTGGGGAGAGAGGGAAGATGTAGCCGGAGTGCTTAAGTTCAAACATGAAGTCTTAATCCTGCAAATAACCAGAGAAACCACACTTAAAAGGCCCAGTTCATACCCAAGAGCTGTGGAACATGTGTGAGAGGCTGTTTCTGAGTCTGGAACTGCAGTTCTTTCTTTCTTTCAGCGGCTGCCGTCCTTTGATGAGGTGTTTGTACATTTCACCAAGGCAGAGTGGGATCTCCTGGATCAAGCCCAGAGAGCTATGTACAAGGACATCATGTTGGAAAACTATGGGATAATAACTTCTCTAGGTAAGGATGCCTTTTCCTTGATTGATATGTGCCAAGGGATTATTTTTCTGCGATGGCTCTTGGAGTTAACGATGGTTCCAGTCCTTGGAGGGATAAACTCAGTAAGTAGTGTTGGGGGCATCCTGTTTGACACCCTGACAATTGGCTTGTGGTGTTCTCTGGGCCTTAGGTCTGCTGTCCCCCACATTATTTAACTTTTATATGGGACAGCTGGGAAAGATTGCCCAGAGTTTGGGGTTCGGTGCCCTCAGCATGTCAGTGACATCGAACCCTAAGTCTCTTTATTTATTTGTTTGTTTGTTTGTTCTGTACAAGGACATCATGTTGGAAAGCTATGGGATAATAACCTCTCTAGGTAAGGATGCCTTTTCTTTGATTGATCTGTGCCAAGGGATTACTTTTCTGGGATGTGTCTTGGAGTTAACGATGGTTCCAGTCCTTGGAGGGATAAACTCAGTAAGTAGTGTTGGGGGCATCCTGTTTGACACCCTGACAATTGGCTTGTGGTGTTCTCTGGGCCTTAGGTCTGCTGTCCCCCACATTATTTAACTTTTATATGGGACAGCTGGGAAAGATTGCCCAGAGTTTTGGATTTGGTGCCCTCAGCATGTCAGTGACATCAAACCCTAAGTCTCTTTTGTTTGTTTGTTTGTTTGTTTGTTTGTTTGTTTGTTTGTTCGTTCGTTCGTTCGTTCGTTCGTTCATTCATTCCATTTATACCCCGCCTATCTGGTCATCTTTTCTATCTGATTCCAAAGAAGCTGACTCCTGTCCAGAATGGACTGGATGAGGGCAAACCAAAACTCAATCCAGAAAAGACAGACGTTCTCCTAGTCAGTCAAAAGGCAAATCAGGGGCATGGATTCAGCCTGTACTAGATGGGTTTACACTCTCCCTCCAAACACAGGCCTGTAGCTTGGGTGTGCTCCTGGATTCAACCCCGAATGTGCATGTCTCAGCAGTGGCCAAGAATGCAATTGCAGAGTTGAAGCTGGTGTTCCAGATGGGCCAACTCTTTGAAGTGTCTGATCTGGTTCTGGTGGCATTGCACTTTAGTTACTTTCTGTCTGGATTACTGCTGTGTGCTGTATGTGGGGCTGCCTTTGAAAAGTGTTCAGAAACTTCACTTGGTTCAAAATGCTGCAGTCATAGAATAATTGAGTTGGAATGGGAGTAGATGTTCACCATTGAATCCAAAGTAGATCCGGTTGTCCAATTTTCTTTTGAATGCCCCAGTGTTGGAGCGCTCACCACCTCCTGAGGTAATTGGTTTCACTGTTGTACTGGTTGGGTTTAGGTTATAATTAATTAATTATGACCTATAAAGTAGCAGAATCGGCATCTTGAAACCGGATGTGTTTAGATAAAAAACACAGCTAATTTAAATAGTATAAAGACTATGTTGTTTTCCCATATGGTGTGCTTGTGCCAGCAATTGTAATTCAAACAAACACGTATTACTTTGTTTAAAAAGAGTTTTACTAAAAACTATAATACATACGTACAATGCTTAGTTACTTGGTATGACACTCACTGGCAAATAGTTATCACTTTGTAATATTGTTATATTCATAATACTTTAAATTTAGTCTTTGAACATATTATCAGTTGCATTTATATTTCAGTCTGAGTGTTTGAGGTACATATCCTGAGAGACTCTGTCAACCTTAACTGTCCCTTTCCTAACTTGAACTGACGCTACAAACTCTGGGCTGATGCTGCCTTTTATAGCAGCCTGGCTGACCCCAGATACAACCTGATTGGTTAAACACATTCTATGCAAATCCTGCATTCTGCTCTTAGCAAGTACATCATAAATATTCATATACACATTAACATACATTCCGTGTTACATAAATATCTACAGTACTGCTGTAATAGTGAAGTTTTTACTGATATTCAGCCGAAATCTGGTTTCCTGTAGATTGAGCCCATTATTAATTCTGATTGCTATTGTTGCCAAGGGGTAAAAGTGGGGTAAAAATATTTAAAATAAATAAATAAAATAAATAAATGCAATTTGATTTGGGGATCTGTTTTTTAGGCGTTGGGTTTGGTCATTGGGCTTCTACAAGCTGAGCTCAGCGGTCAAAGTATCACTTGGCAAATGAAATGGTGAATGAAATAAGAAAGTCCAAGTAACTCAGATAAAGCAGGCAAGCCAGAGGCACTCGGTGGGACAGGACCCTTTGTCTTGATAAGCAGTATTCACTATGTTCTGGAGAAATTTAGATTCTCGCCTCAGCAAACACCCACTGATGATGCTTCTAATTCCAGGATGCTGTTGCTTCTACTTTACACCAGCCTGAAGTCTACAATAATAGATGATTAAGAAATGTACAGTATATCAGATGACTAGCAGAAAGTGAACATGCAACACCTCACTCTTTTGCAGTGGCCCCTTTGATTCCTTCGCTGGGAGAAATGGCCAAACCAGAACTCATATCCTTGCTGGAAAAAGGAGAAGATCCATTTATTCAGGACTCAGAAGAAGAGAGGAGATGGGAAGGGACCTGCTCAGGTGCGTGGTGGAGCTACTGTTGAGAGGACTCTGTGAAGCTATACCAAGTACACCTGCAGATTCCGTGGCCTGTTCTGTCAGGCACTCCTCTGCTTGATTCTCTTCCTGCATTGCCAGCACTCCGTCTTTCCTGAAAGGCTCGCAGGCTACAGTCTAGGTTTCTAGGGGAATCTGTGAAAGCTGGTCCTTGTCATTGATCTGTATAATGGATTGGTCTTTGTTTTCCTCCTCAGGCCTTACTACAATTCTGTTTGGTGCCCTTCTCTGGAAATGGGCACTGTACTGAGATAGCAGATGGGAACAGCAGACAGAATCTGCTGAGCCTTGTGAAATGAGAGTTAACCTGCAAGGAATTATGGTCTTTTCTACAGATATGTAAAAGATCATCTAGTTTGCAGCAGGGGCACAGAAAGTGAAACAGAATCTTGGTGGTGCTGAAATAAGAGAAACAAAATAATTCAATACAATCCCTGAAAAGACGGTCAGTCTGTGTTTGAAATTTGCTAAAATAATGTTGTTGTTGTTTTTTAATCTACCTTCAGGTGATGACTGGGACAGTGAGAGCTGTCACAAAGCATTGCTGGTGTGTGTGGAAATAAGAAAGCATGAAGAAAGAAATTTTTTGTTTGGAAATCAAAAGGAATCAAACAACTGCGAAAAAAATCAGTGTAAGAGAATGAAGAAGGAATCCCCAGGTTTTCAAGAAGCAGATGTGGGTGAACTCCTGAATGTACAAGAAAGTCTCAAGGAGAAGGATAGGAAGAGAACTGTAGTCTTTGAAAAGATACCAAGAAATAGAGTAAAATTAAGTAGGCACTGTATAATCCACCCAAATAAAAAGGTATATGAACACCTGAGGTCTTCAAAGGATTTCAGTGATGCTAAGGAACTTAAAGTATATCAAACAAGTGAGAAACTGTATAATTATATGAAGTGTGTAAAGAGTAATACTGAAAAACCTACTGCTATTGATAATAAAGTTCACACAAGGAAGAAATTGCACAAATGCATGGAGTGTGGAAAAAGCTTCAGTAAAAGTAGACTTACAATCCATCAAAGAATGCACACCGGGGAGAAACCATACGGATGCATGAAATGTGGAAAGAGCTTCAGTGAAAGTGGAAAACTGTCTATACATCAGAGAATTCACACAGGGGAGAAACCATATCAGTGCATGGAGTGTGGAAAGAACTTCAGGGAAAGTGGAATACTTTCCAGGCATGAGAGGACTCACACAGGGGAGAAACCATATCAATGTATGGAATGTGGAAAGTGTTTCAGTCAGAAGGGATGTCTGAGACAGCATCAAAGAACACACACAGGGGAGAAGCCATATAAATGTACAGAATGCGGAAAGAGCTTCAATGAAAGAGGAAAGCTAACTGTACATCAAAGAACTCACACAGGGGAGAAACCATATCAGTGCATGGAGTGTGGAAAGCTCTTCTGTCAGAAAGGGAACCTTAGGCAGCATCAAAGAATTCATACGGGGGAGAAACCATATGAATGCTTGGAGTGTGGAAAAAAGTTCAGTGGAAATGGAGCACTTGCGAAGCATCAAACAATCCACACAGGGGAGAAACCTTACAAATGCATAGAATGTGGAAAGAGGTTCCGTGAAAACGGAACACTTAGCAGGCATCAAAGAATGCATACAGGGGAGAGACCATACAATTGCGTCAAGTGTGGGAAGAGCTTCAGTGATAAAGGACAGCTTAAAAAGCACCAAAGAACTCACACAGGGGAGAAACCATACAAATGTATGGAGTGTGGGAAGAGCTTCAGTCAGAAAGGGAACCTTGAGGGGCACCAAAGAATTCACACAGGAGAGAAGCCATATGAGTGCATGGAGTGTGGAAAGTGCTTCAGTCAGAAAGGACACCTTGAGGGCCATCAAAGAACACACACAGGGGAGAAACCATATGAATGCATACAGTGTGGAATGACCTTCAGTCAGAGCGGAAGGCTTATTAAACATCAACGAACTCACACAGGGGAGAAACCCTATAAATGTTTGCAATGTGGAAAGAGCTTCAGTCAAAGTGGAAGCCTTTTGAGGCACGAGAGAATTCATACGGGACAGAAACCATATAAATGCATGGAATGTGGAAAGAGCTTCAGTGAAAGAGGACACCTTTCTAGACATGAGAGAACTCACAGAGGGGAGAAACCCTATGAATGCATGGAATGTAGAAAGAACTTCAGTGAAAATGAGCACCTTATTAAACATCAAAGAACCCATACAGGGGAGAAACCATATCCATGCAAAGAATGTGGAAAGAGCTTCAGTAACAGTGGACACCTTTCTAGGCATGAGAGAACTCATACAGGGGAGAAACCCTATGAATGTGTGAACTGTGGAAAGAGCTTCAGTCAGAAAGAGAGCCTTCAGCAGCATCAAAGAATTCACACAGGAGAGAAACCGTATAAATGCACAGAGTGTGGAAAGAACTTTGCTGAAAGGAAAACACTTAGCAGGCATCGAAGAATGCACACTGGGCAGAGACATTAAGTGTAGAAAGAGCCTTGGTGATGGACAAAAGATTTTTGATATGAAGCAGTCACGAAAGAGAGAAATTACATCTATGCAAGATATGTGGACAATGCTGATCCAGTAGGAGTAGCAGAGATTGAATTCATGATACCAGTTATTCTAATTTGCGTTGGAGAGGTTGTTGGAAAGCAGGCACTTATTTTCCTATGTGTTGGGAATGTGAGAATATATTCAAATATTGCTATCTGGCTTTTGAGGAAATAAATGAAATTAGTTAAAGATAGAGGTATGTTCTGAAATAGCACTTTCATCAATATTTGAGAGGGTGTGGTGTAATAAAATTATTCTCCATGTATTGAATGTGGCAAGATTAGTTGTAGCTAGGAATTGGAAAATAATGCATGATTTTTCAGTTAAATGAATGGTATAGAATAGTAGTTCTCAAACTGGGTTCCCCAGATGTTATTGGGCTGCACTTCCCAGAAGCCTTCACCACTTGCTGTGTTGGCCAGGATTTCTGGGAGTTGCAGACCAAGAACAGCTGGAGACCCCAGTTTGAGAACCACTGGTATAGAGAGGTTTGGGATATATCATTGAATGGCAAGTTAACGTGTAATACTAAAGTTTAAAAGGGGCTGATAAGTAAGAATATAGATATATGGGGAGAATTTATTGATTTTGTATAAAGGAGAAGGGACATACTGTATGCCTTTGCAAGAATCAATGGAATTTGGGAATGTGGCATCATAGAAGTGGGGGGTCGAGGTGGCTGTAACTCCCAAGTGGTCCCAGTGGTGAGAGCATTATTTGTATAATTGGGTTTTTTGTGATATATATCATTAGACGTTTTTATGTTTGTATGATTTTGTTTAATAAAATTAAAATAAGGAGAATGAGCAAAAAATTAGGAATCATGTGCTAGGGAATACACTCCACATACCTTTCTCTTATTACAGTGGCTGGACTCCTTTGGAACGAATGTCAGGACATTCAGATCCTTGCATATTTGTTTTAATTATTTACTTGAACTATTTTCTCCTTAAAGAGAACTCTTTAAAGGTGGTGTACATCCTTAAAAGACAATACAGTGGTGCCTCGCTTAACGACTACCTTGTTAAATGACAAAACCGCTTGACGAACGATGTTTTAATGGTAAAAATTCACTTAATGACGATCGGTTCCTGGCTTCGGGAACTGATTTTTCGCTAAACGACAATTTTGAAACAGCTGATCGGTGGCTCTAAAATGGCCGCTCGCTGTGCAAAATGGCTCCCCGCTGTGTTTTCAGGACGGATTCCTCACTTTACAGGCACCGAAAATGGCCGTCCTATGGAAGATCTTCGCTGGATGCTGAGGTATTCAGCCCATTGGAACGCATTGAACCAGTTTCAATGCATTTCAATGGGCTTTTTCGTTTCGCTTGACGAGGATTTTGCTTAACAGCGATTTCAACGGAACGCATTATCCTCATCAAGCGACGCACCATTGTATTTAAAGCTAACAACAGTCATTATACAAATACTAAACTGGACCAAACTGATGCCATACTAAAAAGACAGTAAACAAAAGCGACACTAAGAACACATTCAAAGCAGTCAGGCACAACCTTCTGTTTAGAAACAGTGTGGAAGGCAGCTGTTCATTCATGGAAAGCTTGCCTGAAGAAAAAGGTCTTCACCTGCTTGCGGAAAGACAGCAAAGATGGGACCAGCCTGGCCTCCTGTGGGAGGGAGCAAGTTCACTCTGCTTGGGCTTTTTTTTTTTAAGTCCCTTAAGGTGTTTGCACTCCTCCTTCTAGAGAGCAAAGGGAGAAAGCTAATTCCCAAAAGGCCCTCTCCAAAGGAGCCCAGCTACTGTGAGAAGAGAAAAATATGTGCCTTATATTCCCCCAACACATCAACTCATCTCTGCTAATTGGTTGGATCCTGGCTACAGTATACTGATGGGTACACATCACTCATGCGACGAAAGATCATGTCACTAGAAGGGAACATGGGTCTGGATGATCAAATGTCCACGCCTTCTGTTGCATATTGTTGTCCACATAGCTTTTCTCATGTATAGTTAGGATAGCATGTTGACTGAAAATCCTTTTACACCATACACCATTATATATTTCCTGTCCATGCAAGACTGTTCACACAGAGATGCCTACATACAGTAGGACCCTCTTATCCACAGGATCAATATCCACTGATTCACTTATCCACTGACTGAAAATATTAAATACAGTGGTGCCCCGTATAGCGATTAACCTTCGCTATACGAAATCTTCGCTAAGCGGGAAGTAAAAAGCCATTGGAACGCATTAAACTTCATTTAATGCGTTCCAAATCGGCCCTAAACTTCCCACTTAGAGAAGTTTCCTGGCCCCGGGCAGCCATTTCCGCGCCCTCCCCTCGCTTGCCGAGGGCGCGAAAATCCTGCGGGGGGGCCATTTCGGGTCGTTTTGAAGCCGCAAAACAGCGAGGGGAGGGCGCGAAAATGGCTGCCCGGGGCCAGGAAACTTCTCTAAGTGGGAAGTTTAGGGCCGATTTGGAACGCATTAAATGAAGTTTAATGCGTTCCAATGGCTTTTTACTTCCCGCTTAGCGAAGATTTCGTATAGCGAAGGTTAATCCGGAACGGATTAACCTCGCTATACGGGGCACCACTGTAGTCATGACATCCTTAGTAAGGACTGTAAGCTGTATGGCTGATAATCACTTGTTACGTGCTGTCAATAAACTTTTCACTTGTGCCAACCCTATAAATAAATAACCTCTCCCACGTACTATTTTTACAGCCTTGTTCAGATCTTGCAAATTAGGGGCTGTGGCTGTATTTACTAAGTCAATCCATTTCCTCTTTTTTTTTTTTTTTTTTTTTTTTTGTTTTGTGTGTTTTCTTGCAGTTCCCCCCCCCCACACACACACACAGTCAAAACAACATTCTATAAGCCATTTCGGATAGGAGGGTGTAGTTCAAACAACACATTGTAACTTCTTAACAACCTCCTGAATCAGGATTATATTTGACAGATTGTACACAGTACTGTATGGGCTTGTTCTGTCCCAAATTTTGAGAAGGCAGGATAAGGACTTTCAATGAACTAATTTCTGGTTTTAAAAACCATTCCTGGTTTTTAGTGATGTAAATAAACAAATAAATCTTAGAATAGCAGAGCTGGAAGGGACCTTATCGTTCATGGAGGCCAGGCCCCTCCCTAGCAAGGAGGCCCAATGAGGAACTGAACTCCCAACCTAAAACTCCCCAGCCACATACCTAACTCCCTGAGTTATATAGCCAGACATAGATATAGCATTCAAGAAAAGTCACATGGATTGCACCATGTTGGGTTTCAAGTAAGGGATAACATAGCTGAATTCTCCCCTATTTATGAAAACTCCCTTTACACTGAACGCTAGCATGCAGAAAGAAGGATATACTGTATGTATACTCTTTTCCTTGGATTGGAACCTTTTAGCTCAGAGGAGCATTCAGATGTGAAACTTTCCACCCATACTCCAAAATGATGTTGTCCACAAGAACTTTGCCCAATAGATCTTCTCCTTCTCCATCTTTCTGAGTGTATCGAAGATCTGTTTTCAGGACTGTTTGGTACAGTAACGTGCTTTTACTCAAAGATTTCCATAGAGGCTGGGAAAAATTTCCAGAACATAAATGATAAAACAG